GTCGTCGTCGTCGTTGATGGACGGTCGGTACTTTGCGGTTCTCGCGCTCGCGGCCGCTCTTCACCGGAGCCAGGGTCACTGGGTCGACTTTTGGCTCGACAACCGGCGCGTTTACGGCCACTTCTCCGCGCCCCTCAGCCCTTGGGCCCAATTGGACTTCGACGTCGAGTTGTCTGCTCATCTGCTCTTCCGTCTCCAGGTGGACCGGGCTCGAGAACACCTTCGCCAGCGCCGGCCAATCACGTGGCCCCTCGACGACCCCCTCGCCGCCTCGGACCTGCTCGCGTTGCCAAGTGACGTGAGCTACCGCGACCGGCTGAGTCTGGACGAGGTGTACCTCATCAACTTGCCGCGACGGCGCGATCGTCTCGCGCTGATGGAGTACGCTCTGCACGTCTACGGCATCGACGCGCGCCTCGTCGAGGCGGTGGACGGCGGCGCGATGAGTTCGAGTCTGCTGCGTCGTCTGCTCAACCTCACCCAACTGGCCGGCTACCGAGACCCGTTCACCGGACGCACGATGACTCGCGGCGAGGTCGGCTGTCTGCTCAGCCACTACGGCGTGTGGAGCGAGCTCGTCGCGTCCGCGTCGCTTCAAAGGGTGCTGGTGCTGGAAGACGACGTCGACTTGGTGCCCGGCTTCCGGACGCATCTGATCTCGGCGCTGGCCGAAGCCGATCGCCTCCAGCCGCGCTGGGATCTCGTCTACTTGGGCCGCAGGCGCATGGCGCCCAAGTCCGAGTCCGAGTCCGAGTGGCCGCAGGCCGAACAGCCCCTTCGTGGCGCCCACTTGCTCCTCCGGCCCGGCTATTCCTACTGGACTCTGGCCTATCTGCTGAGTCGACGAGGCGCGCAAAAGTTGCTTGCTGCTCAGCCGCTGCAGCACATGCTGCCGGTGGACGAGTTCCTCTCCGTCATGTTCGACAGACATCCCAACGCCGACTGGAGACGCCAGTTCGCCACACGCGATTTGGACGTGCTCGCCGTGGACCCGGTCATTGTGCAGCCGCTCTTCACGAGGCAAGACGCCGAGTACCATTCGGACACCGAAGCCTCCGACCTCTTCTAGCCACACTCGTGCGCCACCTGTCGACTATGCCGTTGCAGTCACGGATTGTCAACTTGGTACATTGTCACACGCTTCACTGCCAGCGACATGTGAAATGTATAATGACATGTATTCACGGTGTTTCGTGTATGGTGATGAAGGACTGGTAGTACAATTTTCCCACAATCATATGAGTTGAGCTGACGTTTCCGTTGCATTCCCAAAAGTTGTTCTCATCCCGGCTGGAGTTGACTGCAGTTTCGACCTCGCATCGGTCTTATCAACAC